ATTTTATCAACTTGTTGCTCTTACTATTGAGACAGAGATACAAAAATTTTGGGAATTTTTTGTTCTTAGACTCTAAACTTCGCAATTTTTTGCAAAGCATCCTTCTTTGACATAAGTATAAACAAGTTTGGAGTTTGCTCCATGTCTTGAAGTTAGCTATATCAAAGACCAAAAAATGCAGGATTAGCCCTTCATTTCTATTTGTATCTAAATAACTGAATTGGAGTTATAATTGATAACTGAAGTTAGAGTCTACTGAATGATTAGATTTTATTACAAGGGTCAAAAAATGATGAAATAGATTTGCATGCTTAAATATGACATTAATTTCTAGAAAAGTTCAATACTCATGTAAAATATTTTACTATCTAATTTTTTCAATATTTTAATTCATTAAGCTTTAGATTTTAAAATATGCAATTTGCAGTTAAATTTTAAGTTAATAAATATAAGTTAAAAAGCAAACAAAACCTAAGATTTTCGAGAAAACTAAACATTAACCTTCCCTGATAGTTGCTTACTTTATATACTCTCAAAAATATATATTCATCAAAAAATATCTGAGGTGCCAAATAAATGCTCTTGTTTATTAATTTCTAACTGGGGACTTGACAAATCTGTGGGTGAGAATTTTTATTAGTGCACTTATATTTTATAATTTTTAAGGTTGGTTTACCAAAAAAAAAATTTTTTTAGTTTTAAGATATATTTTACTTGTTGATAACAAGTGAAATTTATTAAACAGACAGATTTTTTAATTTAATAATTTTATTAAATAAAAAAATTTAACAGACTCAATAAGCTCAGAATAAAAAAGTTTCCAAAAAAAACTTGGAATATGTTTATAAAAACTCTAAAATGTTGGCCCTAAATGTTATCAAAAAACTATTAACTATGTAAAGTTTCACCCACAAAATGAAGTGTTTGTAAATTTTATATAGTCATCTTGATTTCAACTCCCAATTAAAATTTTTTGTAAAGCAAAATCCTTATTTGATATATTAGATTGCAGAAAACTTTTTCTAATGAAAAGAAAAGAATTTAATAAAAAAATAGTATTACATACACTTATATACCACAAAAATATTTTTAACCATTTGTAGCTATGAAATAGCTGTTTTAAAAATTGAGATAATGTCAGATAATTGTTTCTGATTGAGATGCAAAATTAACATATCGTTGATCTTATATATATATACTTGTTATTAAATACTCTTTTTTTTTAGTGAAGTTCACAGTGACTTGAACTTGTGTTGTTGAACTTTAATTTTGTAAGCCTGTAGATTATCTTTGACATAGGAAAATGCCCTTGCTTTCACATACAAGTTCAAGATATTTTCAAGAACATTTAAACAAACCTCTTTATTAACAAAAGTATCAGTTTCACTTCTAATCTTTAAATTATTTGTTAAAACATTTGTATCTTCAAGAAGTGAGGATAGAATATCTTTGCTGTCATTTTTATTGATAGACTTACTAGCCATATTTTTAAAGGTTGATTCAGCAGTAATAAAAATACATATTGTCTCAATTTTCATATTCCACAAGCCTGATCTGTTATGCGTGTTAACAAGTCTGTTAACATTTAATAAATCCTGGTCAATAACAGTAAAAATAGAATCAAGTTCGTCTTGACGCAACTCAAAAAATGGGCTTTAAATGATTCAAATCTTCTGAACATTCAACCATCATTAATGTTTGTTTTACACCTTATTTATGCAGATTTTCAACTTAAACAATGAAAACAATTAAAAACGGCCTGCATTTCCAGACTATTCATTTTATGACTATTCTTAAACAGCTAAATTTAGCTTTCATATAGCTACGATATATAATATCTTTTTTGAAAATGTTTTTTTTTAAAAATTTTTATATAGAAAAGCAGATTACAATAACATTAATGATTTCCTTACAAGTGTCAGTTGGCTTCAGTGTTTTAATACCAAGAATGTTCAAGAAATGTATGATGAGTTAATTCATTATACTGAAAAAGCGTGCAACTTATATGTTCCTATAAATGCCTCTAGTTTATCATCAAAGAAACCTGAACAAAGAACTTATCTCAATCATTAGAGAAACTGTACCTGAACAAAGAACATATCTCACTCATTAGAGAAAAACAGAACTAAGACACAAAAATTGTTCTAGAAAATGGAAAAATTCAAATCTTTGTAACCAATATAAAAAATTATCAAAAAGAGTGTCATTTGAAATTTCCATTGCAAGACGAAAATACGAATTAATGAT